ATCTCAAGCATGAGTAAGACTAAGAAGTCCTTATTTACACAATGTTAACTAGAGTAACATTTCACTCATTTCTTCAGCTTCAGTGAGAAGTAAAATTATTTCCTCTAAGTGAATTTTCCAGTCAACTAGACTTACTCCTTTAAGCACTAAGATAATTTTTAAAAATAACTTTTGGGAGTGAGTGGTCTTTCTATGATGTATTATATACACTTGCCTGCCTTACTAATCTAAGCTCACTGAAGATAATTTTTCCTCTTCAGAGACATCATATAACAGTAATTATCATACTTTGCTACAGAGATAATATAAAGCTATTTGTTCCCTTTATTAATACCACTTTTAATTCTAGGTGGCATACTTTTAGAAAGACAATGAAATAAATGATCAGGATAGTGAGACGATGTGAAAATAATGTCATATGAACAATATCAGGGACATTTAGGCTTGGAAAAGAACTGAAAGAGGGCATGACCATAGGCTGCCAGTCTATATAAAGGGAAGGTTTGGGGGGTGGAGAAAAATCAGATTTGTCAGCATAACTTCAGAAAGTGAAACAAAACACAATGACTGAAAGTTACAAGGATATAGGTTATGAAGAAAAAAAATCGTCTAACAGTTAGTTAGGTCTCCATCATTAGATGTAGCCAGGGAAGGATAAGGGTCTAGCCATTGTTGGGAACTCCTGTCCTGGAATGGAAGGTGGGCTTGGGCTCTGTGACTACAGTAGGAATTTGGCATTGCTGTCTGTCGAGCATTCATTTACTCTTGTTCTGGTAGTAAGACCTTAAATTTCTTTGGGGAAACCCTTCTCAGTCCATGTGGTTTGAAGTAAAGCTTCCCCATGTGCCCTCTAAGGATCGGTGACTCACGTTCTCCTACACAGGGCATCACAACATACTTGGTTCAGGGGAGAACACTGACCAATGCAGGATTATTCAATTATTGGAAAATCTATTCTGGAGTTGTTATGAGAAGCTAGAAAAAAAGGCAGCATGGGCCTGCCAATAGCTATCCCAGCGCCAGGAAAGGAGAGCCCATTGGAAGATGGAGTCAACACAGAAGGCAGGGCTGGTGAAAGACGAAGAGAGTGCGACAGAGTCCTGATGTCACTGAGTGAGCTCCCGAGCCTTGCCGCACCTTTCGTCAGTCCATCCCTGCCCTTCTCAAACATGTGAGCCAAAGTACTGAAGCCAGTCTTGAGTTAGGTTTCTGTCACTTAACACCAAAAGAGCCCATCCTGGTTGAAACATGGTTTTAGGCTCCTTATAATTCTAGGATCCTAGGTTTTATCAATGGTTCTGCTACTTTTGTACTTTGATGTTTTGTTTCTAATAGATCAACTTCAATCTCATCTGCTTCAAATGCCTTCTATCTAGAAACTAAAAGTAAACAAAATTATTATTCTTATTCAGTTAGTACCCTTAATTGCTCACTTAATCCACATAATTTTGCTGCTTTGATGGTGACAATAGGTGTTTCCTGACAACTCAAGTACTTGGGCTTTGTGACAGGTCATACCTATTTTAAATATCTGTTATTGCCTACACTCTGGTAGCTGGAAACATGCACAAGAGAAAAATAAATGTTTTATGTACACAATTACAAAGCTATAAAAGTTAAAAATTAAATCTTTCATTTAGATGCTTTGTATAGAGAAGGCTACCGTGAATATGCTTTAAATTTCTAAAGGCATGACAAACCATATTTTTAAATAGTTTACATGTTAACATTAAACCAGTCTTTCTCAGTCTATATCCACCTGGATAACTACAATATCACCATATGATTAAATAAGATAAAAACTTGCTTCATATACTTCTATTGTAAATTCGTTTGTAGGCAGTTGTTTAGTTAAAAAAGAAGTTAAAGATCATGTACTAAGTTGTGTTTGGCAAAGTAGGTCAGAACATAGACTCTAGGGAGAACATTACTTAAAAGGGGTGTTTGATCATAAAATTTTGTTTCACCAAAACACTGTTTATACCAGTATTAAGATATTAATAACATTTTACTCAAAGGTTAAAGGTTTGCTCTTTGATTCTTAAGATTCCACATCTCAGAAGATAAATAGGGCTAATAAGTCAGTATATTAGAAACTATAACTCAGCACTGGGCACAAAGAAGTTTGTCTTTTGTGTTGGTCTAAAAATGTCAGTCTTTTCCTAAAATAGGAGTTCTAAAATTTTTCACTCATGAATTGTTTTGCTCACTTATCCACTTAATTGTCTTTCTCCTTTACCAGAAAAAAAGGGAGAAAAATGGCAAAATTTCTTCTCTGCCAGTGAGAAAATATTAAAATCTTTCCTATTTTTCACACTTTTCAGAAATTATGATATGTACAACTGAGTTTATATCTTTCTCAGAAGTTAAAATCCAGTGACTCACAGAGTAAACTTGGTCTATGGGTGTATGACCCATGTTGTAATAACATTAGAATTAAAACAAAAATGAGTTGCTGACATTTAAAAATTAAAAGAGTTCAAATAAAAGCCCAGATTTCTAGCTTCTCTTGAAGAATGAAAAGATAGGAGGCACCATATGGATAGGACAGGAATAATGCTAGAATTGAGAGGCAGGTGTCTCTCTTGGAAGGGGCACACCATCATTCCCCTTTATATTACACCTGGCCAGCTTTGGGACTCATTTAAATTACCCAGATCAGTCTGCTTAATACAGTGTAAGTGAGGTAGAAAGAAGGAGCAGAGCTGCGAGAACACAGCATCCAAATGGAGAAGGAAGAGCTAATACTGATAGTTTGGGTCATGCCTGGTAACTCTGGTGGTGGAGGTGATAAATAGCAAGACCTGGATAATGATGGGAGCTTCCTCAGTTTGCATACATCTTTAGTGCCGTATGAATGCTGAAGCAATATGTGAACACTATTAATCAAATCAGTAGGAGAAAGAATGAAAACTGGAGAGAGACAAGTTTTGTGGTAAGTCAAGTGGTAGAAACAATCAATGAAATTCACTTACTAGATAGAGTTCTTGATATTGATATACCACTTTCCCAAAGGTAATTTAATCAGTATGTCACAATGGTTAAGTTATAGCCGTGGTAAGTAGTCATTAATACTGTTCAAAATATTAGGTTATCTTTTTTCTTTTCTTTTTTTCTAGACACATACTAAGATCGTATTTCCTTGCGGGAGTGAACTTTTGAAGAAACATGTGACTTGTTTTGGCCAATGAAACATGAGTGAAAATGAAATGTTTCATTTGTGGGCAAAAGCTTTAAGTGGCATGTTTGGCCACTCTCTTTCGCTTCTGCAGTCCTGATGTTCTGGAAGGTGCTACTCTACCAGCCTTGGCTGTTGAGGGTAGCAAAGCAACCTGCAGACCTCTGAGGGCCATGCAGTGTGAATTACAAATAGACTTGTTGTTTTAAATCACTGCAGGTTGTTCGTTACAGTAATGTTACTCTAACTTCATTCATTCATGGATTTTGACATGTCTGTTACCTATATTATTTTAAAGTACTTTTTGTTATATCATTGTTAAATTAAAAATTTATAGTGTACCATTAGTCTAAGCATTACATGTGGTACATACTAGTTATATTTCAATTGTGTTTTAATAAACAAAGTAAATACATAATTATTAAAAGTAATCTTAGGGCGCCTGGGTGGCTCAGTTGTTAAGCGACTGCCTTCAGCTCAGGTCATGATCCCAGGGTCCTGGAATCGAGCCCCGCATCAGGCTCCCTGCTCGGTGGGAAGCCTGCTTCTCCCTCTCCCGCTCCCCCTGCTTGTGTTCCCTCTCTCGCTGTGTCTCTCTCTGTCAAATAAATAAATAAATAAAATCTTAAAAAAAAAAATAAAAGTAATCTTACATACCACCTTCTGGGAAACACTGAGGTAAAATAGGAAATAAACCCTGAGGCTACAAAACAAGAACCTATGCTCTCAAGCTCCAAGTATGGTTCCAAATGTGAACACCATCCCAATATTCAGTGAAATATGCTGCTTCCTTAATATAACAGAGATCAGGAAGGGACATATATTATGAATTTAATATGTGTATAAATACACCATCTATAAACCGCATCAAGTTTGTTTGCAAAAATCATTAGGAAGGACTTCATCAGTGCAAGGATCTAATTTGCATATGCAAATCCAAAGGTGTACAGGTGTAAAGGGTAGATACGGATACATTTTTACAGGCTTCCACATTGCATCTTTGAGTACTTGACCTTTAGCATCAATTAAAATCATTATGTATACAGCTAGTAAATGCTGTGACATAGACTCATGCATAATTACCATTTTCCAACAGATTGAGTAGATTACAGAAAGGGATGGGGGATATTTTATAGGGGTGACAGCCAAGAAAAGGTCTTATAGATACCTGCCATTTGGTGCAATTTGACCTAAAACCCCAAACAACCCATATATATATTTACACTGTATAAACAGCATGCATTCTAAATGTAATTCACATATAAAAGGAAATAAACAAGTAAAGAGTTTATATGTCAGAAAGAAAAAAACTGTTGTTTCAAAAGGATGTCACTAAAATAATCAAAACTATGTTATATGCAGAATGAGTTTTGGAATTAGCAATATTTAGCCTCAAAAAAAAAAAAAAAGGAGAAACTATTGAGACATAATAGCCATTGCCAAATATTTGAGAAGTTGTCCTAGTAAAGACACACTGGATTTCTTTGTTTAAGCAAAAAGAAGTACTGTGGAGAAAAGTGGGTGAATCAGCAAATAAATTTTAGGCTAAAATTAAGGAAGGTTTTTCTAGCTGCTCACCTTTGAGCATCTCTGACAGTCAACTGGATCATGCAATCTCTCTCTGCAGGGAGGGTTTTGGAGAATCTTAATAACAAGAAGGATTATAGAGACTAGCTAATTTACCACCCTCTTCCAAAACTTCAGGTCTTTGATTAACATGTAGTCCACCAACAGCAGATAGTAAATTCCTCCCTCTGGAACTATTAGTAACAGACAAATTATTATAGATTAATCAACTATTAAAAATATCTCAAGATAGTACCTTTCATTTTCTCTTAATATGTCCCTTCCTTTCTTCCAGATGTAGACAGGTTTAGGAGAAGCTTTTGGCTTACACTCAATGACAACTTCACCTCCCACTTTGACAAGAGTTACTCTTTTTAAGAGGGTTCTTGAAAAATCCGGACCCACAGCTGCAAGAGAATACAGAAAATAAAATAATTATTATGGAAGAAAAACCCCGACCTTTTTCTTTCTATAATGCATTTATTGTTGCCTTGGGCATCAAAGGGAAGAAGTTAAATTTTTTCTAAAGTAAAAAGAGTAGCACTGTATGTTTTGATGGGTTTATGAAAAATTGAGGTATAATTTATATATGGTAAAATGCACCAGTTTCAAGTGTACAGCTGATGAACTGGACATACCACACTATGAAGATCAAGGTATAGAACATTCCATCACTCTACTGAGGGACTCTTAAAAATTATTTCACATTCAAATGAATCAAAAATTTTAAAATTTCAGGGAAGCATAAGAAGACAAACAAGAAAATCCACAAGGCATTTTTCTGATTATGTAGGTTAAAGCATTTCCTCTTTGGTAACAGTTTCTGCCTCTGCTCTGTCCCTTAGCACTCTGTGCATGTCTCCATGAGAGAACATGCTGAAATGTCTATATCATCACCCTCTGAGCTTCTCCTTAAAAACAAGGGCTTTGTCCAGCTTTCTGTTACTGTTGCCTAATGCAGTGCTTGGCTCAAGCAGGATAAACTGGGGCTTACTCTTAGAAAACTCAATTCCATGCTCACTATGAGTGCTCTAAAATTCATTTTATAACTCAGGCGGTTATATGAAAATAATGTTAAAGAATTATTGCTTTCCTAAAACAACAGATACATATATGTATCCTCTTGGAAGGAATTTAAAAGACGCCTTTCTGAAAAAAATCTTCATTTTCTTCTGAGTTAATTAAATTAATGTGATCTAGGATCTCTTTTGAGTAGGGATTTATCTCTTAGAATCTCAATTTCACTATATTTAAAATCCCTGACTCCCAGTTTGACCTAATAGAATTTAAGATTTTAGATCATGTTGAATGTGAAATTTAAATACCACAAATTACTTAAAGGAGGACAGAAAGTGAGTGTGTATGTATGTGGGTAGGGAGAATGGGAGTCAATTTCTTAATTGCCACCAAACCAGGTACTAGTGATATAAAAAAATAAAACAAAAATAAGCTTCAGTGAAAGCAGGTTAAATTTTTATTAAGTACTTTTGTTGTGGAAATATTTTCAGTAATTGTCTAGAAAGAAATAAAAGTGGGAAGGTTACTTTTTAAAGGGGTGATGCAATGTATGACTGGAGCTGGTTTTACTATGCAAAGGTGAAATTAAGTAGTTTAGTAGGCAATTGATATCTTGATCTGTGTGCCTTGGATTCGTGAGGGGAGTCTACAGTTCAGAGCATAATTCTATAATGATAAGTGCAATTAATAAGTAACATGCAAGTTGTTACAGATGTTTCTGCTGTAATGAGATAAATGTATTCTTAGTATGATCTGCAAAATCACGTAATAAAAATTATAGGATTATGAGAAAGATAGGGTCAGGACAGACCTACTCAATATTTATGTAACACCACACTAAAAAAAAAAGCACCCGATCACCCCTTGAATAAATATATTAGCATGATTAAAAAGACAAGTGAAATTCCTAATAAATACTACAAAAAATACAGGACGTGTGTGTGTGAGTTGTATGTGTGTGTGTGTGTGAAGACAGCTTGACGAAAGACAGAAGGAAGAGTTGAGATTGCTAAACTCAAGCAAACAAGTAAAACAGGGAAGACTTTGAAACAAAGTAAAATCTGCAGAAAGACTCAAGAGAACCATGCCATCACCACTGCCATGTTACATGGTCAAACTAAGCCAAGAGGAAGAATGTAGGTGAGGGGAATGGTGGGCAACATAGTTTTGCCTCAGATACTGTGGTGATCTGAGTTAGTGGGCTCTGTGTTTGATTGCTGCCATGTGTGAAATACATGAACAAAGCCAGCATTTATGTTCTATTGGTGTCATTCCCCCGTTTACCACTCCCATACGTGTTAATATGCAAAACAGAAAGGTTTCTGTAGCACAACAGACTCATTCTCATCTTAAGTAAACACCTGAAAATTGGCATATTAATGTAAAAAAAATCAAATTTCTGTAAGTTTTTAAAAGAGTATTTTGTGAAATAGTTAGAAATCTGTATCATATAAAAATCCCTTCTTAAAACTGTATCTTTCTACACACACATTTTTATCACTTTAGGCAGACATTTTTCATCTGTTCAGGAGGAATTCGGCAATTGCATTTGAAACGAGTTTACATAAATCAAACTGTGCACAACACATGGGTGTATTTGTCAAAAAACTATATATTGCTTTTACGAGATTTGAAATAGCATGATATCAGCCACAGAGAAGACAGAAAACACACCTTCCAGTTTCAGAAGCATTTTTACTATACTGTTTATGTGTATATCATCTTGTGGGTATCCTAGCGATGAGTGGTTTTGAATATCTTTCACTAATAAAAATGGAATTATAAATTCAAATCTTTTCCCTTTGTTTACTTAATTTGCTGAATTTACTTCTTTTGTTATTTAACCCTGCAAATCTATCAGCTTCCACATTAAGCTGCAGTGCTTTCTAGGACAAAATTGTCAAACCTTGATCAGTTTGTGAATACTTGACCCATTAATGGTTTTCTTAACATTCTGCCATTTTGTAACCATCTGTTGTACCTAAGATGCCCTTAAGTGTATGGAATGGAGTTTTTTTCTGGTCTGTACTTTGTATTTAAGTGAAAGGAGCCTGTTAAATTTGACATTCACAGAGAAAGTAGGTTTTAAAAGTTATTGGTAAGGTCCCCAGGAGAGCACTATTAGAACCCAACCTTTGCTGGCACTTAAAAATTTAGTACACACTGAAGGTGAAACTTCAGTAGGTTCTTAATAGCTCAGAAAAGGTAAAACCAATTGTCAAATTACCCACTTGAGTCTGAGAGTCGCTCAGATACTGGGGGATCCTCATTTGCTAAATCTAATGCACTTAGAGGATAATATTTCTTACATCAACTACTAGAGGGCACTGCTCTCTCAGTGTTAGAATGAGTCATGTTATAAGACCTCTTCCATTTGGAAAATGCAACTTTTTATTACATATCAATGATCTTTAATCCATTAACATTACATGATCTATGAGAAGCATCCAGCTAAAAGAAGCTCTCTCTGTAATTCTCAACTGTTTGGTTTTACTGAATTAAATGACTCTTGGTCACATGTCAAGGGTATTTAAAGTGGCTAACAGAACCCTTAAAAACAAAAGTTTTGTGACTTAGTGTCATTTCTCGAGAGAGAGCAAGGATGATAACTCCTTGACTAGATGTGCAGAGGGAGTCACATTTGGGAAATGTACGAGTGTGATTTTTATTATTGAAGAGGAAAGGATAATTCTGCATGCAGTTCGATTGCACTTGGTCTGTAGAAACATCACTGGCAACATTGCCAGTGGATGGAGACTATTCAGTTTGGCCCTTTTAGAAGTACAGAAGTCAGGTGCCTGGGTGATAGACACTGGGGAGGGTATGTGCTCTGGTAAGCGCTGTGAATTGTGCAAGACTGTTGAATCTCAGATCTGTACCTCTGAAACAAATAATGCAATATATGTTAAGGAAAAAAAAGAAGAAGAAGGTGGCAGGAGGGGAAGAATGAAGCAGGGGAAATCGGAGGGGTAGACGAACCATGTGAGACGATGGACTCTGAAAAACAAACTGAGGGTTCTAGAGGAGAGGGGGGTGGGAGGATGGGTTAGCCTGGTAATTGGTATTGAGGAGGGCACATTCTGCATGGAGCACTGGGTGTTATGCACAAAAAATGAATCATGGAACACTACATCTAAAACTAATGATGTAATGTATGGGGATTAACATAAGAATAAAAAATAAAATAAAATTAAAAAAAAAAAGAAGTTCAGAAGTCCAGATTATTTTAAACTTTATCTATTATCTTTAACTATTAGCTCATCATTCTATAAAAATAAACCTAGAGTTAATGCGTTCATTCACATTTTCACCACTGCAGAGATAATGCTGGTATCTGAGTTTTAAAACTCCGAGGTTTTTCTGGCTTGCTGGGTAGATAACTAGAAGGCTGGTTACAGTGGGAATCTTCTTTCTAGGTCCATCATTTCAGAATGGTGGATTCAAAATCAGCCCTCTCTAACAAGGGATGATATTCACAACAAAACTCTGAAGTAAGATTTTTCTATTCTCCTACCAGCACAATGTGTCCCTTCTAAGTTCCTCATACCTGTGCCCTGCTTGTTTGATCCAATTCATTGAATGCCCTGCTTACCCGGGTCTCCTTCTACCACGATAGTTCCCGCTCCTTTGGGAAGGTTATTGTAAAACAAAAGTAATAATATTTATAGTCACAAGGTTGTTTCAAAGAACAGACGAAATAATACATGTATTGTATATTAAGTACTTAGCCCAATATTTGCTTCATACCTACTCCTCCTCTCTGCTATCTCCACTACCGCCACCACCATTATTAGGGGACTTTATGCTGAAATATAAGAGGGCTTTTTAGAGCCAAATCAATTCATCTTGGTTTAAAAAATTTTTTTTTTATTTTGAAATAATTATAGATGTACGGTTACAGAGATAGAGAGGTCCTGTATATTTATTTCACTTAGTTTCTCCCAGTGATTATACCCTCCCTGAGCATGATACAATATCAAAATAAGGAAAGTGATCATTGGTACAATGTGTGTCTTTAGTTCTATGTTATTTTATCACATATACAGACTTGAATAACTACTGCTGAAATCAAGAACGGAAGTATTCCATCATCACAAAGATTTCTCTTTTGCAACCCTTTTAAAGCCACATCCAGCTCCTTCCTGCCAAATTCTCCCTAATGCCTAGAAACCACTAATATATTCTCCATCTCTATAGTTTTGTCATTTTGGGAGAACATTTTATATACAGAATTGCTTAGTATGTGACCTTTTGAGATATTTTTTTACTCAGCTTAAGGCTCTTGAGATCCACCCAAGTTTTGTGTGTCAACAGTTAGTTCTTTTTTTTTTTTTTTTTTTTTTTTTTGCTGAATAGTGGTATCTCATCCATTCAGATATAGATGAAAATA